CGTGGGAGCTGCAGCCAGCCACTGGAATCTCATCCCTTCCACTGCAACTTCCCAGGCCTCACCATGCCAATGCAGCTCAGGGCCTGCATGCGTCGCCACCGTGCTGCCCGCGTGCGAGTCGCGCCGTCACATGTGCTGAGCCAGGTCTGAGCAACCTCAGGAAAGGCGTCCTGCCGTCGGCGTGACCCGCCAGGCCAGCTCCTGGAAGGTCTGTGTCCGGTACTGCGGGCTTCCGCGCCGCCATCTCCCGCAGCCAAGCCTGCCAAGCCAGCACCAGGCTGGCTCTCCCCGCCCTGTGACCGCAGCCGGGCGGCTCTGCTGCTTCACAGCCCTGTCTCCCCTTGCTGTTGGCCGACCCTGTCCTCCACGGGCATCGTGTGCAGCAAGTGTGGGGCACAGCACGAAGACGAGATCTAAAAATTTCAGCTTTACTGAAATTGAAGCAAAATAAACAAAATGTGATCTAACAAAATGAAGAGCCAAAAGTCTGAAGTGCTCCCTTCCCTGGCCGGTACCAGATGATGACCTGCTCTGGGAGAGGCAGGGCCTGGCCGGGCCCCACGCCCTATTCTTTGGCTGCTGGTGTTGGGTAAGCAGGACTGTTTGCAGCAGGCAGCGTTTGCATGCAGAGACGCGGGGGCCTGGAGTGGCCAGGGCTGATTGAGAAGAAAACTCGTGCTTTGGACCTAAATATTTGAAAGCAGGTGTTGGAGCTAGACCACGTACTATGTGGTTCTGTTCTTTTCCTAACTTAGGAATAAACTATTATTTTAGCTTCGAGTAGAGAGAGAGAAACAAACCTGGACAAGTGTTCTTGGCCGCAGTCTCTGCAGTCTGGGTTTCCCAGTCTCCAGGAGATGCTGGTGCTTCAGGCCACCTTGCCACCAGTGGAGGAGCTCCCAGTGCGCCTGGCCTGTTGGCACCATGGTGCTGGACCCATCTCTGGGGTGGTTGTGAGGGGCAGCCTCTCAACACAGTACTGACTGCTGCCTGAAACCAGGTTTATAGCCTTGCTGTGGCCTGAGAGGCAGCTGATCTGGCAGCCCTGTTCTTAGGCCCTGGGCCCTACCCTGGGTGCATGTAGGAAGCCTCAGCTGTGCATTTGAATTTTGTGTAGATGAGGGTGAAGCTTCTTACTTGTTTTTTATTTTGTGTTTAGAGACAGGGTCTTGTTCTGTTGCCCATGTTGGAGTGCAGTGGCATGATCATGGCTCACTGTAGCCTCAAACTCTTAGACTCAAGCGATCTTCCCGCCTCAGCCTCCTCCCATCCTCAGCTGGGACTACAGGCATGAGCCACTGTGCCTGGCCCATGGTGAAGCTTCTCGATGTGCAGCTGTTGGCAGGGATGCTGAGTCTAGTTGGTTAGGGTGTGCACTAACCCATGGCTCTGGGGTAGGGCCTGTCTAGAGCTTCAGGCCAGCCAGGCACACTGGAAGAGGATGTGACCCCATCTAAGCAGTGTTTTGGAGATTTTAGAGAAAGGGGATCTTGCTTATTCCCTGTGGACAGAACGGAATCTGCCTTTAGGGACTGACTGCTTTTATTTATTTTTATTTTTGGAGACAGAGGCTCGCTTTGTTGCCCAGGCTGGAGTGCAGTGCCATCCGTGATCTCAGCTCACTGCAACCTCTGCCTCCTGGGTTCAAGGGTTCAACCTCTGCCTCAGCCTCCCTAGTAGCTAGGATTACAGGCACGTGCCACCACACCCCGCCCATTTTTGTATTTTTAGTAGAGACAGGGTTTCACCATATTGGCCAGGATGGTCTCGAACTGCTGACCTCAGGTGATCCACCCGCCTCGGCCTCCCAAAGTGCTGGGATTACAGGTGTGAGCCACTGCACCAGGCTAAAAAAGATAGTGTTTTAAAAAGACAGCAAGCAGTAAATAAACACTTTGAAAAACAGGCAGGGCTGGGTGCGTGATTCACGCCTGTAATCCCAGCACTTTGGGAGGTGCTGAGGTGGGCAGATCACAAGGTCAGGAGTTCGAGACCAGCCTGGCTAACATGGTGAAACCCCATCTGTACTAAAAATATAAAAATTAGCCAGGCGTGGTGGTGCACACCTGTAATCCCAGCTGTTCAGGAGGCTGAAGCAGGAGAATCTCTTGAACAGAGTCCTGCTCTTTTGCTCAGACTGGGGTGAAATGGCATGATCATGACTTACTACAGCCTCAACCTCCTGGGCTCAAGCGACTCCCTCACCTCAGCCTCCTGAGTAGCTGGGACCACAGGCGTGTGCCAGCACGTCCTGCTAATGTTTTTATTTTTTGGTGAGATGGGGTTTAGGTTGGTCTTGAACTCCTGGGCTCAAGTGATCTGCCTACCTTGGCCTCCCAAAGTGCTGGGATTACAGGTGTGAGCCACCATGCCAGACCTTACATTGATTTAGTGTTATTTTTTCTTTTCTGTTCATCTCTCTTTTTTTTTGAGATGGAGTCTCACTCTGTTGCCCAGGCTGGAGTGCAATGGCATGATCTCGGCTCACTGCAGCCTCCACCTCCCAGGTTCAAGCGATCCTTGTGCCTTAGCCTCCTGAGTAGCTGGGACTACAGGTGTGAGCCACGGTGCCTGGCTAATTTTTGTATTTTTAGTAGAGTTGGGGTTTCACCATGTTGCCCTGGATGGTCTCAAACTAGTGACTTCCGGTGATCCGCCCGCCTCGGCCTCCCAAAGTGCTGGGATTACAGGCGTGAACCACCGCGCCCGGCCCTATTTTTTCTTCTCACTGCCTCTCTCCAGCATACATCAGTTTTTGTTAACAGGGATTGAGCTGCATCTGTAGAGGATGGCATTTTGTCTTTAGCATTAAAGGAAAAGAGAAAGTCTTTTCCATCTGCACCGGTTTGAAATTAGGGCTCCCTTAACATGAATTGCGGCAGGACTCATTCACATGAGGGTTCATACATGCAGTGAAAAGACGAACAGGGTTTCATGGTCACTGTTTTTCGTTAATTGCATGAAATGAGGGATAAATACACGCATAATCTGTTTAACAAAACTCCTAGGTTCATCAGCATGCAAAATAGAAAGTGTCTTAAAAGAGACTGTGATCAGCAGGCAGACAGCCTGTGTTGGTTTGTTTCCTCTGACTGCTTCAGATCTTCTAGGGGAGCTCCTCTACTAAGAGAGCCTGAACTTCTGACCTCATGGACAGGAACCTCAGATAGGCAAGGCTTTCTGAAGGTGCTCCTGCTACCTTCATTCAAATGAGGTGTTCCTCCCGCCTTCACCCTGATCGGGTGCTCCTCCCGCCTTCACCCTGATCGGGTGCTCCTCCCGCCTTCACCCTGATCGGGTGCTCCTCCCGCCTTCACCCTGATAGGGTGTTCCTCCTGCCTTCACTGGGGACTTTTTATTTTTAGTTTAAAAGGATCAACTGGTCTTGGTCAGCCTTAGGAAGGGAAGCATCAGTCAGGTGAAAATGCGCGGCGAACTTTAAATACCTAGCTGCTTCTCATCATGCATTTAAGTTCGATTGACTTCAGCTGTTAGAGAAGTTCACTGGGTGCGGTGGCTCGGGTTAGTAATCCTAACACTGGAAGGCTGAGGTGGGTGGACTGCTTGAGCCCAGGAGTTCGAGCCTGCAGTGAGCTGTGATCGCACTTTTGTATTCCAGCCCGGGCGACAGAGGGAGACCCTGTCTCTAAAGGGTTTTGCATGGTTATCCAGAGCAGTCTCTTGAGTTTTGGTTCTCCTTGACACAGCTGCATTTGGAGATCCTCTGTGTGAGGCATGTTTAGAGAAAGAGAAACACTGACCCCTGGAATTGATATTCTTCCAAGAAATCTTAGTCTTGTTGGTAAAGGCAGTCCTCAGATGGTACTGGTCCCTTTGTTAGTGGTGAGCCTACAGAGATGGTGCCTGGTGTGCAGAGCTATGTGGTTGGATGGAGGTGAACAGAGCTGTTTGGGGCCCCTGGGCCGCCTGCTGGTCCTAGCCCATCACCGCCAGTCGTTCAGCAGACAGGTCCCCCAGCTGATCGTTTGAGCTTGGACTTGGCACACGTTATGGAGTTCGTCTGGATCTCCTGTCTTGGATTTGATATGAAGATTAGTTGGTCCATCCCGTGTCCTAATAGATGTTTTTAGCAGGTGGTCTGAACTTGAACTATCTCACGTGAAGAAAGTTCCTTCTGGTGCCTCTTTTAATTTCTTTTTGTCTTCATGAACAGTCGTGCACCCCTAGCGCCATCCTTTTGAGCTCCCCAAGGCCTCTGCCAGACACATCGCTCCAGGGATGACTCCTCAACCCACTGTGCCGTCACCACTGGCTCTGCACCCCTTCTGAGCCATTCCTGGAGCTTGAGGCACTGCGAGATCAGGGGAAAAGGGTCAGCATGGCAAGGACAAATGGCTGCCTATAAGCTGGGGTCATTGAGCGGCTTTTGGACTTGCTGGAAGTCAGTGGGAACCCCCAAAATGAGTCCCTGTGGGGTGTCTGAAATGGTGGCAGAACGGGCAAGAATGGGGTCCGGCAGTTCTCTCCCCTCAGGTCCTGGCGGATGGATAGCGAAGTCCTGTGTAGACACGGTCACCCACAGGTTGTGTATGCCGGCCGCTAAGGGCCTTGGGTGGCGGGCCTCAGTCCCCACAGTCCAGAGAGTGCCTGTCTGCCATTCCCTGCCCGGAAGGCACCCGGGGCCCTGGAATTCGGAAGGCCGCTGGCCCTTTTTTCCTACCCGGACTCGCTTACCACACTGTTGGAGGCCACCTGGCCCTAGTCTATTTGTGATTTTACAGAGACAGGGTCTCACTGTGTTGTCCAGGCTGATCTTGAATTCCTGGGCTTAAGCAATCCTCCTGCCTAGGCCTCCCAAAGTGTTGAGATTACAGGCGTGAGCCACCTCGCCCAGCCCCGGCCTTAGTCTCTAGTCTGTTTGATGCTGGAGGGTAGTAATGTTGACTCTGGAATAAAGATGTCACTATTCTGGAACGTTTTCTGGGGTCACTGTCGGGAGGCATTGTCTCCCTTGGGCTCTTGCTGCAGCCCCAGGCTGTTGAGCTGCACAGTTGTCCTCAGAGGGTGGGGAAGCTGTTCTGTCTTGGGGGCATGGAGTCTGCTAGGTAGGCCCTGTGAGGATCCCAGCTGTCACCTGGTGGGCACCTGCAGAGGTTTGGTTTTGTTCTTTTAATCGAAGCGGGGTCTTGCTCTGTCACCCAGGCTGGAGTGAAGGGGCACAATCATAGCTCACTGCAGCCTTGAACTCCTGGGCCCAAGTGGTCCTCAGCCTCCCAAAGTGCTAGGGTTACAGGTTAGAGCCACCGGGCGGGGCCCCCTTTGGCTTGTGTTTTTAAGTCTTTTTTTCCTCCATATTTCTGGCTGTTAATTTTGTTTTATAAAAGTTCTGGCTCAGTGCCCCCTGGGGGAGCCCTGTGTGGGCACCTCCCAGGCAGTGTGGGTGCATGAGTTGGTTGCTGCGGGTGGCACTGGGAGGCCCTGTGTGGGCACCTCCCGGGCAGTGTGGGTGCATGAGTTGGCTGCTGTGGGTGGCACTGGGAGGCATGGCAGGGGCACTGAGGCCACAGGTGGCAGCTCCCTGTGCTTGACCTACATCAGGTCTAGAGTAGTGGGCACTCGGGAAGGAAGCACCAGGACGACACATTGGAAGGAGGAGCTGCAGGGCAGGGCCAGCCAGAGCTTGGTAGCCCGGGAGGGCACCTGGGTGGACGCAGTCTGCGGGAGCACTTGCTCTCCTGCGTGAGGAACAGACCTGAATGCCGTTTGAAACACTGGACCCATTCCTGCCCTCATGTGACTTTGTTGGTTTTCTGGGTTTTAGTGCAGATTGTAGCTGGCAGCTCACGATGGAGCTCTTCCTGGTGCAGGCTGACGGGCGGGAGGGATTCTCCTCTACTGAAATGGATGTTACTGTATCTGGGAACAGATTTTTTTTCTTTTCTTTTTCTTTTTCTTTTTTTTTTGAGACGGAGTCTTGTTCTGTCACCCCAGCTGAAGTGCAGTGGCGCAATCTCAGCTCACTGCAACCTCTGCCTCCCAGGCTCAAGCGATTCTCCTGCCTCAGCCTCCCAAGTAGCTGGGATTACAGGTGCCTGTTACTGTGCCTGGCTAATTTTTGTATTTTTAGTGGAGATGGGGTTTCATCACGTTGGCCAGGCTGGTCTTGAACTCTTAACTGACCTCAGGTAATCCGCCTGCCTTAGCCTCCCAAAGTGTTGGGATTACAGACATAAGCCACTGTGCCCGGCCTAGATTTGTTTTGATTGAAAAAGCTGAAGCAAATAAAAATTGTGCTGGGGAGAATGGAGTGCTCACAGGATGGGCTGTATTTCTCACCGGCCTCGCCACACCTTCCTCTGCACTCTCACACTCTGACTCTCCTAAAGATGCTGGCATTTCCTGAACTAAAGCTAGCATTTCACAGAGCAGGGCGATGGGCCATGGACCACAGTCACCTGGCCATTTAGACAGCTCTGCCCTGCCCCCCACAACTTGGGTACCCAACCATGTCATTCCCACCCCTAGCTTTGTGGGGCACCGTTCTGCTGGGCCTGGTTCTCTTTCCTGAAGCACCCCAGGCATGCAGAGGATGTTCTCAGCAGAGGGGAGACACCACAGTGTAGCTGACTTCTATCTCTTTTCACTTTCACCATATTTACTTACTTTTGGCAGAAGTGGGGTTGAACATTTATGTGAAGTTTTCTTTACTACTGGGGACAGTGGGGCAGATTCCTGCCGCACATTCTCGCCTCTGCTCCAGCCTAGGTGCTGCCTGGGCGGCGGGGGGGTGGAGTGCAGCTGTTTTGAGGTACTCTGAGTTCCCACCTGCCGTCGCCGGTGGATGAACTGGCTCATTTCTAGAGCTGCTGGAGGCGGTGGTGGCTTTCCTGAGAGCACCTCCCGGGCTCGGGCTGGTGGGGAGCTTGATTTTACCTTTTTATGTGGAAATAACTTCAAATTTACAAAATATTCACAAAAATAAAGACAGCAGGGACTACCCAGGTGCTCTACATAGAGTTGCCTGTTGCTGGGGCTGCGTCCTTTTGTGCCCGCCCTGCCCCGTCGGAGAGGATCCCAGATGTGGCCCTTCCCCATGCACGTCAGGCGTGTGAAGAGAGCAGGTGTCCGCTGGCGATGGGCAGCAGGCTTGGTGGTGCCCCAGCCTTGGTGCAGGAGTTCCCTGAGGTGAGATTCAGGGCTCTGGCTGGCTGGCCTCGCGTGTTTCCTGAGCGATGGATGTGGGCACGGCGTCCTCCATGTTGCACCGCCCGGCATGGGGTGTGCGTGTGTGTCATGCCAGGGCTCTGGGCCTGCTGTGGGGACTGTTGCCCTGCCTGTGCCCTGTATGTTGTGCGCTTGTGCCCGTGGGTGGGTGTATCTTTTCATTTTTAGTGATATCCTTAAAAAATTCTTTTTTAATTTGGAAATCTTTAGAGAGAGCCCCCCCGTTCTTTCACTCAGCTTCAGAAGTTATACGCGCCTGGCCAGCCTCCACTTGCCCGTTCCTTCCATTCCTTTGTTTTGAAGCAAGTCCCGGTAATGAAATTCCATTCATGCACCTGTCAGTGTGTAAAGGTTCTTAAAAGCAACCATAATTTTATAGTGTCTGATGAACCGAAGTTTGTTAATTTCATTGTACTCCTCAAATTTATCACCCTTTTCCTGTGCGGTGTGTGCATGCTGGGTCTGGTTTTATTTATTTTTATATATGCACATAAATATATTTTAAGAGATGGGGTCTCACTGTATTGCCCAGACTGGTCTGAAACTCCTGGGCTCAAGCGATCTTCTCGCCTTGGTGTCCCAAAGTGCTGGGACTGAGATGTGAACCACCGCGTCTGGCCACCATGTTCTTCTATATGATAATTTCTGCCTTTACCTGTTAGCAGTCTAGAAGCATGTGGGATTTCCTCCCTCCCTGCCTCCCTCCCTCCCTCCCTTCCTTCTTTCTTTTTTAAACTCTTAATATCCATTGCTTGTCCTGTGGGCAGAGGATGTGGCCTGCATGGTACGCTTTCATTGTTTGATGCTTGTTGAGACTTTATGGCCCAATAGATTATACATTTTTTGTAAATAGTCCATCTGTGCTTGTGAATATGTGTGTTCTTTATTTGATGCAATATTCTATATGAGCTTCTTTGGTCAAATGTATAAATCATGCTTACATTTTTAATGTCTTTAATTTATTTTTGTGTGAATTGGCTTCATTAGGCTTGTAAGTTTAACATTTCTCATTGTAGCTCCTGGAG